GCACCTGCGCCAGCACGGCGTCACCCACTCAGGGGCGCGCCCCTTCCAGTGCGTGCGCTGCCAGCGCGAGTTCAAGCGCCTGGCCGACCTGGCGCGCCACGCACAGGTGCACGCGGGGGGCCCGGCCCCGCACCTCTGTCCTCGGTGCCCACGGCGCTTCTCACGCGCCTACAGCCTCCTGCGCCACCAGCGGTGCCACCGCGCCGAGCTGGAGCTGGAGAGGGTGGCCGCGCTGCAGGCCGCGCAGTCGCCGCTGCCGGAGCAGGAGGCTGAGGGGGTCCCACTGCCCCTTGCGCGCATCAAGGAGGAGCCGCCCTCCCCGGGAACCCCACCGCAGTCCCCGGGAGCGCCCCCTGTCTTCCTCAGCGCCTCCTGCTTTGACAGCCAAGACCACTCAGCCTTCAAGATGGAGGAGGACGAGGTGGACAGCAAAGCCCACCTGCGCGGCTTGGGGGGCCTGGCCTCCTGACCCGCATGGCCCCTCCGCCCTCCATGGGAGACCCCGGTTTGCAGTGGAAAGAAAGGACCCCCTGCACCGCCACCCTTGAGCCCTGGCCCTAGGAGCGGAGGCCCCGGGCCGCCCCCACCCCTCGCCCTCCCCAGACCCCGATGCCGCCCCGGTGCGTCTTCAGGCAGGAGGACTTGGAAGGGGAGGCGGAGGACGCTAGGCCAGAGGGAGGCGGGAGGTGCTTTGCCCGGCCGGCCGGTCCCCGTGACACACACTGGACATCACCTCTTCGGATCGGCCCGCAGGGCGTTCCCGTGAGCGAAGGTCTGACCCTGTCCCTCTGTCTGTGAATAAATGTGAGCTGGTGAACCCGCGTGTGGCTGTCCGTGGAGGGGGTTGGGTGACTCCCACACCACAGCCTCGACCAAGCAGGAAGCCCAGGAGCCCCGAGGAGAAAGGGGACTCCGGTCCCCACACGCCTGCGGGCACCAGACACCCGCAGCGCCTTAGTCTGTGCCAGGCACGGTGGGTCCTGCCCGTCCTGACAGCAAGGAAGCCCGTCCCTCCCAGAGCTGGAGGTCGACAGCTGCACTGGCCCCAGCAAGCTTTCGCGGCAACACGGTGACCTGGATCTTTGCTGTCCCGGGTGGCGGCCTCTAGCCACGTGTGACTCCCTGTTCAAAGGGAGCAGAGGTGCATGCAGGCCAGTGCGGTTGGGCCAAGTAGCGGTTTAGGCCCTAGGAGTAGAGTGGACGGGGAAGAATATCCGCTGGCCAGCCTTCCTTAAATCTCTTGCTCTGATGATCAGCCGCTGCCCCCCTCCAGTGGCTGCCCCTTGCCATATATAAATAATAGCACGTGGACCACTGAGGTGTCCTCCCACGTGCAGGAGAAAGCAAGCAGGCATGGGAGTCACCCCCATTTTCCTGGGTGGCAAACTGAGGCCTTGAGGGGCACCCCTCCCCCACCCTGAACAGAGCCAGCGGGAGCTGGGCAGGGCTTAGAGGACCGTGTAGGTGACTGCCTGGCCCAGCTCAGGGTGCCGGGAAATAACCAGACACGGCACTGAGAAATTAGGGTTCCCCAGCGACCCTGCTCCGCAAGGACCTGTCCTGTGAGGTGAGAGCCTCGGGCTGGTACCCCACGCCACCCCGTGACCCACAAGCAGATGTGACCGCTTGGGTGGTCACGTGCTGTGGTCACACACCAGCCAGCACAGTGTCATGGACGAAACCTGTCAAGGGAGGGGACACGCTGAGCCGAGTGTTGTGACCAGAGCCTGTCCCTCCCCGGCCAGCGAGTGACTCCGCAGGGAGGGCTGGAGACGGCGCAGGCCCTTGTGGGAGGGAGGTGGTGGCTGCTCCACCTTGCTACGATTCCCGCGCTGACAGCACAGTGGGTACTGCGGCTTCCGTTCCTCGGGGACAGGTGCCCCAGAGGGAAGCGGGGAGCACGCCCCTCTCCAGAGGCAGAAGGAGTATGACAGGGAGGCAGATTCAGACCCAGGAGACAAACCACCACACCCCGCTCCCCACACCCAGCCCTCACTCCGCCCATTAGGGCTCAGGTCTAGTGTCCCCCGAAGTCTCCTGCATGTGGAAGGGGGTCAGGCCGTGGAATCGCTCTGCTCCTGTTGGCTCACCTGTGGAGTTCTTGGCTGACGGCTGCTGAGAGGTGGGCCTGGTAGGACCTGGGTCACTGGAGTGTGATCTGGAAGGGTGCATTCCTGTCCCTGGCTCCTCCCTTTCTTACCTGCTTCCCGGCTGCCACGGGGCAAGCAGCTCTCCTCCACCACCCCTTCCTCCATGCTGTTCTGCCTTGGAGCTGGCTGGCCATGGACTGGACCCACTGAAACCGCCAGCCACATAAGCCTCTCCACGTTGCGGCTGTTGGGCTTTGTGTCCCACCGCCGCGGCAGCCCACTGACACAGTCCCCATATGCACCCTGCCCCCTGGCCCCAAGGGCCCCGTCCCCACACTGAGGGTGCCTCCTACCTTCCCCACCCCACACACCATCTTACACAGCTGCTGCCTCCAGAGAGACAGTCCCAGGATGAAACCCAGACCCTGTGGAGAGGACACGCCTCGAAGGGGCGGTGAGCTCCTCTGCCTCGCTTCGAATTACCCAGTACCGGGACACGGGTTCCGGAGACAAACAGTAGTCTCAGGTGGGGCCAGGCATACCAGCTTGGACTGCACCGTGAGAGCCCATCTCAAAAAGAAAAAGCCAGGTGCAGTGTGCACAACACCATGTCCTGTGCCTAAAAGGGAAGAAGGGCCAATGGCAAACGTTTCAGAGCACAGTGGCTCTAGGCTCTGCATTGCTCTGTGTGAATGAAGGACCCAACAGCAGCCTCGAGTGTCCGCAAGCATTTAACTGTCCGGGAGGAGCACCCAGGTCAGCTTCTTTAATCCTCACGACGCCCTAGGAAACAGACCACGATGGGCTCCAGTAGTTTATCTTTTCTGGGTTTTTGGGTTTTTTTCTGAGGCAGGGTCTCGCTACTAGCCCAGGCCGGTCCCCGAGAGGGACGAACACACTCCAGACAGGCTGTGGGGGTCACTGCACAGCCCCACGAATCCACCACAGGTTGCTGAAATGCACACCTGCGGCAGGGGGACTCTAGTGTGTCAATGACACCTTCAGACAGCGCTTTAAGAAAATCCCAGGCACACACGTGTGATTCCAGCACTCCAGAGGCTGAGGCAGGAGAATCGCCACAAGTTCAAGGCCAGCCTAGGCTACACAGCGAGACCCTGTCTCAAAAAAAAAAAAAAAAAAAATTTTAAAAAGTGAAAGACACATGGTCATGGGTCCCCCTCCAAACACCCCAGTACTCCCCACTTCCTCACACAGTTACCGTTTCTGACAATCATCTTTTACGGTATCAAGTTTTTATAAAATTTAAACATTCACCGTATATTTCGATCCACCATGGATATGGTCGTTGCTCTCGGGCAGATTCTAGGTGAGGGCCCACCAGGCTGAAGAGAAGTCTGTGATGATTCACTTTTCTGGAGAGAGCCGGATGTTTGCCAAGGCGACCGCACCATCGACAGCTCCATCAACACCATCGACAGCTCCACAGAATCCCTGCAGGCAGAGGTGCCCGCCTGAGCCACGGCCACACAGCCACACAGCGGGAAGCGCCACAGGGTGAGCCAGCACTGGGGGCCACGAGGGAGGGGCTGCAGGCGCTGGGAGCTCGGGTGGAGGTGCCAGGGCCGGACCAGAGGGGCAGGGAGACAGTGAGGAGGGGAGCAGCAGGGGCGAGGGCCGCAGTGCAGGCGGGGACTCTGAAGGCGCAACGCCAGACGGGGGTGTCGGAGAGATCCCTTCATGCAGAGCAGAAGGGATTTGACTTTTTTTATTTTAACTTCTTTTGCTATGAATTTTTTGTTTTGTTTTGTTTTTTTTGAGGCAGGATCTTACTGTGTAGTTTGGGCTGGGCTTGAGCTCACTTTGTAGCCCAGGCTGGCCTTGAACTTACAGTGATCCTCCTGCCTCAGCCTCCCGAGTGCTGGGATGACAGGTGTGCGCCACCACGCCCGGCTTCCTATGAAAATTTTAAAAACACAGGAAATGGAAATCATTAAATGGTAATTCCTTGGAGTCTTAAATTTGTGTTTTATTATATTTACTGCTTAATCAGTCTGTCTATCCGTCTGCCCATCTGCCCATCCAGCCAGCCAGCCAGCCAGCCAACCATCCATTCCGTCCATCTCTATCATCCACCCATCCATCTATCCACCATCAATTCACTCACCATCTTTTTTTTTTTTTTCTTTTTCCCAGTAGTGGGAATCGAACTCACGACCTCGCACTTGCCAGGCAGGCGCTGTGCCGCTGAGCTAAATCCCCAGCCCCACTCACCATCTTTTAAAAATAATCTCTGTCTCTTTCTTTGGGACAGGGTCTCAACTTGTAATGCAGGCAGGCCTTGAACTCACTATATAGCGCAGGCTGGCCACAAACTCATGCTGCTCCTGCCTCAGCCTCCCAAGTGCTGGGATTACAGGCATGTGCCACCAAGCCTGGCAAACTTTATTTTTACAGTAGTTGTAGGCTCATAGTAGAATTGAACAGAAAGTAGAGACTTCCCAGACATCTGTTTTTTTTTTTTTTGTTTTTTTTTTTTTTGAGACAGGGTCTCACTTTGCAGTTCAGGCTGGTCTTGAGCTCACTTTGTAGCCCAGGCTGGTCTCGAACGCACAATGATCCTCCTGCCTCAGCCTCTCAAGTGCTGGGATTACAGGTGTGCACCACCACGCCCAGCTTGGACATCCATCTTTAAAAAAACACTTAAAGGCAATTTGTAACTCCAGCTCACTTTGTGCCACACGCTCCGGCACACCTACCACAGCCAGCTATCAGATACTTACGTGGCTTGTCCTTAGCAAAACTTAAGTACAGCGCAATGCATACATTTTAGACATTGTGTTTGACTCATCCAGACCAACACATACACACGAGTAGCAGCACAAGCCCCTCTCTTAACAGATTCTCCCGGAGTGCTTGTGGGTCATTTCCTGGTCATGGGACAGAATGTCCATAAGCCCACCTGGTTTTATATTTTCTTCCTTTTTCCCTTTTTTCTTTCTTTTCAGTGGTGGGGATTGAACCAGGGCCTGGTGTGTGGCACTGAGCTGCATCCCTATTCTTTTACTCCCTTGAGGATTAAACTCAGGGGGTGCTCTACCACTGAGCTACAGCCTCAGTCCTTTTCTTATTTTACTTTTTATTTTGAGACGAGTTTTTACTAAGTCTCCAAATTGCCCGGGCTGGGCTTTGACTTGCAATCCTCCTGCTTCAGCCTCCACCGTGTGTGGCTTTACCTGTTTTAGTTTTTTAAACTGCTTTTTATTTTAGAGACTTAGACCGGGCGTAGTGGCACACACCTGCAATCCCAGCACTCGGGGAGGCTGAGGCAGGAGGATGTTTGTTCAAGAGTTCGAGGCCAGCCTGAACTGCATAGCGAGACCCTGTCTCAAAAAGACAAAAAAAGAAACTTTTAGACTTCCAGAGCAGTTGAGCGACCGAATTGTAGATAACTGTAGACCCTCACCCGGTTACCGAATGTTACCATCACCCGTTACCGCCACGGCCCCTGTCAGAAGCACAGCACCCCCACCCGCGCGCCAGGTCGCCCTCGGTGGTGTGCCATCGCCCCACCTCCTGGGGACCTTGGCTGTTCCTGGGAGCCGCTTTGTGTTCGCCCAGTCTCGCGGGTTTGGGTTTCCGAGACTGGGATGGAACCCAGGGCCTCGCGCATGCGCAGCACGTGCTCCGCCGGAGCCGCAGCCCTACGGGCGTCCTGGAGGAGGGGGCCGCACACGCAATGCCCTTCTCCTGCGCCCTGTCACTGTCAGGGCTGGGTGTCGCCCAGGGGGTGCTGGCCTGGGCCTCCTGGCCCGGTGTTCCTCTCTGCATTTCCAGCGGAGCTCTGCGGAGGGCCCCGAGGGCGGAGGGTCTGGATAAACCCCACTGAGTTCTGCAAGGGAGACCTGCCGGGCTGCTGATTTGAAGTTTTGTTGGCACCCGTGTGGACTGCCAGACCCTCCAGTCCCTTTCCGTCATTTACCTCGCTGAGGCCACTTTCCTGTGTGTGCCCGGCATGAGGAAGAAAACCCTAAATCGCTGGGGAGACGCTGTGTGTTCGTGTGTGTGTGTGTGTGTGTGTGTGTGTTCACGTGTGTGTGTATGTGTTCATGTATGTGTGCTCGCGTATGAGTGTGTGTTCGCGTGCGGGGGTTGAAACAGAGGTTTTGCACTGAGCTACATCCCCAGCCCTTATTTTTTATTTTCAGGCGGGGTCTCTCTAAATTGCTAAGTTGCCCAGTCTGGCTTGAACTTGGGATCCTCCTGCCTCAGCCTCCCAGAGTGCTGGAGTCACAGGGGTGTGTGTGTGTGTGTGTGTGTGTGTGACCTTCCAAGTGGAATGAGACCTGGGTGCCAAGCCGTTAGAGCCGAGCCTGAGGGTCGCAGCGCGGGGTGCCCCATTTTCCCCAGAGGAGCTGCGGCCGGGATTCCAGCCCGCAGAGCCTGGGCCCCTTATCTCCCGGTCCCGCCGGTGCCTGGCTCGGGCCCTGCTCCAGGAGTGTTTGCGGCTCAGACTCCTCGGCCCCAGCCCCCACCCAGGGAAAGGAACTTGGAGGCGGGGCGGGGACGGACCCGGCCATGGTCACAGGGTGAGCAAGCGGGTGGAGATGGTGCACAGCGACACAGGTGGGGCAGAGGGAAGGAGGAGCCTCGGGCTGAGGCCCGGCCTCTCACCTCCCGCCGAGGCCAGTGTCTGCCCGTGCGAAGCGCACACACCCGTCCTCACTGCGATCTCCCCGCCTCCGGGCTCCCGGCGCAGGCTGGCCCTCCTCCCGCGGCCTTTGCGGTAGGCAGCTCTCTTTGCAGGATGGCCCACCCCCCCTCGGGCCCTTGCGATGCCCCAGGAGCCTCCCCTATCCCTCACCCCCACCTCACCTCTCTGTCCACCCCTGTGGTCAGAGAGATCTAAGAAGACAGCCCGTTTTCCCATCTGAGGCTTTTTGTGTAGCTGTGGAGGGCTAGCGCAGTGGGTGGCGTTAAGGTTCTTAATCAGCTGACTTTAGGACAGGGAGCTGACCTGGTGGGCCTGGCCTAGTCAGGCAAACCCTGAAAGCAACAGGCTCTTCCTGGAGCTGCGGCAGCCCACACAGGGAGCGCGAAGAAAGAAGGTACCCTGCAGGAGCGCAGGCGGCCTCTGAAAGCAAGAGAAAGTTCAGGCCAGGCCCGGGAACCAGGGCTCCGCCCACCACAGGACAAGCCCTGCCCACCAGGGCCCTGCCCCACCCACACAAGAAAAGGCTGGTCCCGCAGGGCCCAGCCCCACCCCATGCAAGACACAGGGCCCAGCCACGCCTATGCAGGACAGCACCACGCCCATGCAGGACACGGCCATGCCCACACCTGGATCTCAGCCTCGCGGGACTCCTGACCCAGGCCCTGCAAGTTCACACAGCTGCTACCTAGCAGAGAAGGGCGCCCTGGTTTGGCTGCTTCCTGTCAGTCACCATCAGGGCAAGTTAGTCCCGCTGTCTCTCAAAGACCACACACAGCCGGGCAGGCCTGTAACCTCAGCCTGGGAGGCTGAGGCAGGAGGATCCTAAGTTCCAGTCCAACCTGGGCAACTTAATGAGACCCTGTCTGCAAACAGAACCAAACGGCTGTGAGGCGGTCCAGTGGTGAGCACTTGCCTGGCCTGCACAAGGCCCTGGGTCCAATCCCCAGCACTGCAAAAGGAAAGCGTAAAATGAGCTGGATCCCCCCAGTGTGGTCATTGTGACCTCTTACTAGAATGCGGGCTGTGTCAGGCCGGGGGCATTTGCATAGCATTACTGAGATTTAATTCACATACATAGCTGGGCATGGTGGTGCATCCCTTAAATCCCAGCCCTCAGGAGGCTGAGGCAGGAGGATCGCCAAGAAGAGTTCAAGGCCAGCCTGGGCTATCAAGCGAGACCCTGTCTCAAAAACAAAACAAAACAAAAAACTTAAAAAGTCACCCACTGAGAGTGTGCAAACTCAGGGCAGCTGTGTATCATGCAGCGGTGACCCATCACCAAATCCATTTTAGAATATTTTTATCTCCCTAAAAGATACCCTGCACCCCCTTAGCCATCACCCCAACCCCTCACCACACAGCTTCAGTGGGCTCCTGTCTGCCTCCCATCTCTGTAGCTACACCCCCAGCCCTTTTAAAAATAAACACCACTGGGTGTGGTGGCACATACCTGCAGTGCCAGCACTCAGGAGGCTGAGGCAGGAGGATCCCCATGAGTTGAGGCCATCCTGGACTAAACAGTGAGTTCAAGGTCAGCCTGAGCTACATAGCGAGCCTCTGTCTCAAAAAAAACCAAATAATAATAATAATTATTATGATTATTGTCATTGTTATTATACATAAAATTTTTAAACTTTTGAGACAGCATCTCCCTAAGATGCCCAAGTGAACCTCGAACTTGGGATTCTCCTGCCTCAGCCTCCCTCAGTGCTGGGTGGCCTGCTTGCCACATTCCCTGAATGTGCCCCGTGGCTCCCTGGTAACTGTCACCAAGAGCAGAGGTCCGGGGCGGGAACCACAGTCACCTGTGGGGTCCCTGGCGATGCACGCCTCACTAGGGGACTTGGCCGCTGCTGGGCTGTTTCCTCAGCTCTGAGGCGCAGCTAATAACAGGCGCCGACTCCCTGGGGGTGAAAGGCTTAGCGCGGGGCTGGTGGGACGCAGCACTCAGGAAACACGACCAGAATCGTTGTTAATCGCATGGGATTTACATCGCAAAGCCAGCGCCTGGCCACGGCTGTCCGCTTCTTGCACGCGCTTCCAGAGAGGAGGACGGAGGATCCGGCACCCCGAGCCGGACCAGGCTGGGAGCTCGAACTTTAATCCAAGGCCCCGGGGAGCTATGGGAGGGAAGGCTTGATTCTCAGCCTGTCACCTCCAGACGCCGGCCGGCGCTGTGCTCTACAGCCTGCCTGCCAAAGGGCGCCTCTCCGCCTGGCACTGGGGCCGGAAGCCAGGGCCTTGTCTGCACTGAGCCACAGCCCCACCCAACCCGGCCTCCTCTTGAAACACTGAGACAAGGTTTTGCTGAGTGCTAAGTTGCCCAGGCTGACCTCAAACCTACCATCCTCCTGCCTCAGCCTCCCAGGTGCTGGTATTACAGGTGTGCGTCACCACGCCAGGCTCGTTTTTTATCTTTATGAAAGTAAAACATAACCTTGAAGATAGATTTCCTTCCTGCAATGTGGCAAACATGGACTCTCAAAAGCAATACACTGCCGGGTGTGATGGTGCGCGCTGTCATCCCAGCACTCGGGAGGCTGAAGCAGGAGGGTCGCTGCAAGATGGAGGCCAACCTGGGCTACATAGTGAGTTCAAGGCCAGCCTGAACTGCATAGCGAGACCCTAAAAAAAAAAAAAAAAAACACACCCACGGATCTATCTCCCAAAGTTGGAACCCAGCCTGGGCAACTTAGTGAGACCCTGTCTCAAACTGAAAAATAAAGTGTTGGGCATGTAGCTCAGTGTGAAAGTCCTGGGCGCCACCCAGGACCACAGAAAAAAAACAAGCTGCACCCTCTGTCTTCTGACCCTCGAGTCCGCTCCGGATGCGGGTGCTGTCCCGCTGGTTCTCGAGAGCTCCCCTCAGGGAAACCTGAGCCATCCCGGACACTGACCCTCTCACAGGAAAGGGAGTGACAAACACCCCGCCAGCCAGCTGCCGAAGGTCAAAGCAGGCGGAAGGTCACGCAGCACGCTATTTATAGGCCTGCAAGGCGATCCTCTAGGCGTGAGGGTTGACACCTATGGAGCAGGAAGGTTTCTGAATCGAAACACAACGGACGCCTCCCCTGGGCGGGGCTGCCTCTGGGGGCGGAGCGAGGGGTGGAGCAGGGAGGCCGCCCCAGGGCTTCAATAATACCCGGAAAGTTTCGGGCGGCTCGCAGAAATGGCTGCTCACTCCGTTTTGCGATCCCGGGGAGGGACCCCAGGGCCTTCCTGCGGAGCTACATCGGCAGTCCCAAAGTTTTTTTTGTTTGATTTGGTTTTGTTTTTGTAACAGGAATCGAACTCGGGGCCTTGTGCTTCCCAGGCAGGTGCTGTGCCACTGAGTTGCATCCTCGGCCCCCAGTCCTTTTTTATGTTTTTATTTTGAGACATAGTTTCGCTAAACTGCTGAGTTGTCCAAGCTGGACTTGAACTTGTGATCCTCCTGCCTCAGCCTCCCAGAGGGCTGGGATTAGAAATGTACCACCTGCACTAGGCAAAGACAAGGTTTTTATTTACTATTTTATACTCTTACTCTAGAAAAAGCAGGTCACCCCAATTGCATGGCCTTTACTTCCTCTTCTTTGGTTTAAAAATGAGCTGGGCAGTGGGTGAGTTGTCAACTGCACAATCTCTGAAGCATAAACAAAATATTTTTAGGTGCTGGAGATCAAACCCAAGGCCTCACACATGCTACAAAAGCTCTCTACCACTGAGCTATATCCCCAGCTCTAAATTAATTTTTTGTTTGCTTTTTTTCCGGTACTGGGAATCAAACTCATGACGTTGCGCTTGCCAGGCAGGCACTGTGCCGCTGAGCTAAATCCCCAGCCCCTAAATTAATTTTTATGGCCTCTTTCAGTTTTATTGATTAAATGTACTTGAAAAAATAATAAATGTACTTGAAAAATAGTATATGACATATAAATCATATATAATATATAAGAATATTATACATAAGATATGTACTGCTATACATCATGGAATATATATAGCAGTATATATGAATATATGATATATAAATATATATATATTAGTGTGGGGAAAGTATAGAATGGTCTCTTAACTCACTCTGCAGCCCAGGCTGGCCTCAAACTCAGGGAAACGCTCCTGCCTCTGCCTTCTGGGTACTGGGATTATAGGCCTGTGCCACCAACTATAATTAGATTAGAGATGATTTGTTTGGACTGGACATTGCATGGGGCAAGAATCACGGATACTTAGTGACCCTTCAGCAGAGGTGCTCTGGGTAGGAACGGTGATTACCCTCATTTCTTACAGGAGGAAACAGGCCCAGGGGCAGGGGTCCCTGGTCCGTGGCTCCCTGCTCAGCCAGCAGGGGCCAAAGGGAGAAGGGGTCACAGGAGAGGCAGAGGGTGTGTGCCCTGGGGCTGGCCGGGCGCCTCCCGGCCAAACGTGTGTGCTGAGGTCACGCCGGGTGACCCCGAGCAGTGGCGTTGCTAAATGGGGAGGTGCAAAGCTCCCCGGATCACCAGTGTGCCTCGGGAGGGCTGTGCGTCCCTGCCCCTGGGCCCAGGTGGCCGCCCTGCATCCTGACCTTTGGGCCTGCGCGGGCCGCTGGCCCACGCCCTGGGGACGCCGACCCGCAGGGTGCACCAGGGCTCGGTGGGCAAATGGCTCAAAGTCTTGAAAGACTAAATAAAGACAGAGAGGGGAGCGCGCCCAAGGAAGCAGCCCTCCAGGGGCGCTTTCTGTCCCTCAGCGTGTGGACAGGTGACACAGGCTCCCGAGAAAACTCACACAGTGCGGAGGGAACAGGCCCGGGAGCCGCCTGTGGGTGCGGATTGCAGCTCCCCAAGGCAGCAGCAAGCGGAGGGAGGCGGGGACGGGACGGGAGGGCCGCAGGTCGCTGCTGGACCGCACAGCCTTGGGGTGTGGGTGACCGGCCTGCAGCTGGCTGGGCCGGCCTCCCCTCCCGGCACACGCTCCCGGGCCCGTGGACTCCATGCAGAGACAGGCGCGTGCTGCTGTTTCACAGCTTCCAGCTCTCGAGGAGAGGAAGCCGTCCGGGAGCCAGAGCAGGCGCAGGTGGAGAGCGCGCCCGCCCGGCCCCGCGTCCGCCTCGCTGGAGCGGGTCCCGGAGGAGACCGGGCACGCTGTGTGCTGTAAAGCAATCTGCACCCTTCCCCAGCGCCAGCAAAGAAAGCACGCAAAGGGGCCGAAACGCGAGGGGCCCTCGGCAATCCGGGCTCCGGCCAGGGCTGCACGGCAGCCTCCGTCTCCATCCCAGTGCCGGGGTCCTCGCCGGGCCGGAGCGCCGGCCACGGGAGTTTTATTAATAGCAGGCTGTAGTAGTAGTGGAAACTCGAGCCGGGACAACAAGGTGTGAGTCACGGCCTGGCCCCTGCCGCCTGCGGTGACACCGCGCCCGCTCTGGAACCCCAGTTTCCTCACCCAGGCATGGGACCAACCTGGCCCCAAACCTGAAGCAGGGAAGGCCGGGACCGCTCAGCGCACGGGGCTTGTCCCAGGGCGCCCGGCTACGTGAGGGGCCAGGCCCACCCCCGGGTCTGAGAGCGGAGGCCGTGCCTGGACACCCCGCCCCCACCGCCCGGTCCAAGGCCGGACACCGGGCCCCGACTCCTGGGTCCCAGGGCAGAGGCCGGTCTGCACCCCTGGGTCCAAGGCAGGAGGCTGGGCCCCGACTCCTGGGTCCCAGGGCAGAGGCCGGGTCTGCACCCTGGTCTGAGGGTGGCGACAGGGCCCAGGTTCTCGGGCGGAGGAGAAGGACTCTGCGAGGCGTCCCTGGCGCGGCCCACTGTGGCTCCTGGCCCCGGGAAGAAGCGGGAGGGCGCGAAGCCCAGGCCTCCGCTGTGAAAGCTGTGAATGGGGCTCCCCCTCTCTCCTGCCCTCAGGCCCGGCCCTTGGGGGCTCACGGCCCACTCGTCCCCTCTGTCCTGGGACCGGCGCCCAGAGCCCAAGCCGGTCTAAGTTTGGAAGGGGAAGGAGGGGGCCGGCTGGGGGGAGAGCGGGTGTGGGGCACAGGGTGTCTCTGTCTCGGGCTGTCACACACACCTCTGCCCAGGGAAAGGGAGGGACAAAGGCCGCGAGTCAGAACAAAGACGGGAGAGACGCAGAGACGCTGGCCAGCCAGGGCGCGGGACAGCCGGGGAGGCAGGGGCCAGGGCCGCGGACGGGGCGGGGCACAGCACGCATGTGGGACAGACGGGGACGGGACGGGGGCCAGAGCCCCACCCTGAGACCCCAGGCTGCGGCAGAGAGGGAGGGTGGAGAGGGAGGCAGGGACAAAGTCACACAGGGACAGGGACACTGAAGACACGGGGAGAGGACGCAGGGGCGAGGGGAGCGGGCACAGCGCACGGGCTGGGGGAGAGCTCGCGGGGGCAGGAGGAGGCCCGAGGCCCGCGGACCCTCGGGCAGCCCCGTGAGGGCCAGGCCACGAGCCTGGGTGCTGCAGGCTCCTGGGGGTCCCCGGACCGGGCACCTGCCCAAGGCCCCCCCACGCCAGGCATCCCTGGGATGGAGCCCAGGGCCCCTGAGACCCCTGAGGAGGGGGACCGAGAGGTGAGAGGCGGACAGGGACTCAGGCGGGCGGAGGGGGTGCGAGGCGGCCAGGGGCGCCGGCGAGGCCCCACCCACAGGAGCCAGAGGGGCCTGGGCGGCGCGGCGTGAGGGTGACGCGGACTCGCGGGCCAAGCACAGCCCCACGGGGCCTGGGGGCTCCTGGGGGGCTCGCGCCGAGGGGACAGGCGGGGCTTCTGTGACAGAGACCCCCAGCACGGCCGGGGCACAGAGACAGGTGGCCTAGGCCGGTGAGTCACCGTGACTCATCCTCTCCTCCAGGGACAGTGACCCCTGTGCCCAGCACCCGGGCGCCTCCCTGGCGGGACCTGCACCCCCTACCCCGCTGCCCTGGGAGCTCCAGGCTGACCCTGTCCCCACCGTCCCCCGCAGGAGGACACAGCCACAGCCCTGCAGCGCCTGGTGGAGCTGACAGCCCCCCAGGTGACCCCGCTGCGCAGCCTGCGGGTCCAGTACCGCCTGCTCCGGAAGCTGGGCTCCGGCTCCTACGGCCGGGTGCTCCTGGCCCAGCCTCGCCGCGGGGGTGAGTGCACCGCGGCTGCCCGGCGCAGGGTCCTCGGGGCCGCCCAGAGAGGCTGAGGGGTGAGGCCGTGGCGCCACAGCGCTCGGGACAGCCAGGCCCTTCCCGGCGGGGGACACCTGTGCCGCGCGCAGGACCCTGAGGCCCCGCAAGGGCGGCGGCTGCGGAGGCCACACAGCGGCCCGGACGGCCTCTCCCGTCTCACACAGGCCCCGCGGTAGCCCTCAAGCTCCTGCGCCGCGACTCGGTCCCGAGAGCCACCTTCCTGCGAGAGTTCTGTGTGGGCCGCTGTGTGTCCTCGCACCCGGGCCTGCTGCGCACCCTGGGGCTCCCCCTGCAGACGCCCCGGCACTTCGCCTTCGCCCAGGAGTTCGCGCCCTGGGGGGACCTCAGCGGGCTGCTCCAGGAGAAGGTGAGGCCAGGCCAGCCGGGGGCTCACACAGGTCCACACGGACCCGGACCCACAGCCACGCCAGCCCTGACCCACGGTGGCGCCAGCTGGGCCACTGCAGCCTGCCGAGGGCCACCCGTGCCCCGCGCTGCTCCCCCACGCACATCCGTCCATCACCCCACTGCCAGCCTAGGGGCAAGGAGCCTTCAGGGGTGGCCGGGACCAGAGCCAGAGTGCCCGCAGTGGGACTGGGACTGTGTGTGGGTGGAGGGGTGCACGGTCTCAGGTGGCCTCAGAGGTGGGGCGGGCCAAGGGCGCCAAGGCGGAGCTGGAGGGCAGAGGTGGTGGGCTCCTCTGGACAGGGCCAAGGTCAGGCTTGAAGCCAGGATCAGGGGGCTGTTTTTAGGAAGCTGGTTTTGAGTTAGGGTCAAAGAGGAAGGAGGGAAGGAAGGGAGGAAGGAAGAAAGGGAGGAAGGAAGGAAGGGAGGAAGGAAGGAAGAAAGGGAGAGAGGAAGGGAGGGAGGGAGGGAGGAAGGAAGGAAGGAGGGAGGGAAGGAGGGAGGGAGAGAGAGAGGAGGGAGGGAGAAGGGAAAGAGGAAGGCAGGAGCCCCGTGGGAGCGTGGAGCTGGCGGGGTCCCTCAGCCTCGAGCAGGCGAGGGAGGCAGCAAGAGCCTGACCTCGTCTCCCCGCCAGGGCCTCCCGGAGCCTGCTGTGAAGCGCGTGGCGGCCCAGCTGGCCGGGGCCCTGGACTTCCTGCATGGCCGGGGGTTGGTGCACGCCGATGTGAAGCCGGACAACGTGCTGGTCTTCGACCCTGCCTGTGGCCGTGTGGCCCTGGGCGACCTGGGTCTGACCCGGCCCGAGGGCAGCCCGGCCTGTGCGCCCCCAGGCCCACTGCCCACCGCGCCGCCGGAGCTCTGCCTGCTGCTGCCACCTGCCACGCTGCCCCTGCGGCCGGCCGTGGACGCCTGGGGCCTGGGGGTGCTGCTGTTCTGTACTGCCACTGCCTGCTTCCCCTGGGACGTGCCGCTGGCCCCTGACCCCGAGTTCGAGGCCTTTGCCGGCTGGATGACCACCAGGCCCCAGCCTCCTCGGCCGCCTGCGCCCTGGGACCGGTTTGCACCCCCAGCACTGGCCCTGCTCCAGGGGCTCCTGGACCTGGACCCTGACACCAGGAGTCCCCCGTTGGCTGTGCTGGACGTGCTGGGAGAAGACTGGGGCTTGGAGGCCAGCGCAGAGGACCCTGGGGGCTCAGGGAGCAGGGCCTTCGAGGACGGGGAGGAAGGGGACCTGGGGGAGTCGAGCTTGGAGGAGGGGACAGACGAGGACGAGGCAGAAGGCAGAGGCGGCGGGAAAGTGGGGACAGATGGCGGCTCTCCCTGGCCAGGTGACTGAGACAGGTGGTCGAGGCCTGGGCCAAACGCCCCTCCCCCAGCCCATGGCCACCTGGAAGGAAAGACAGCTGTTTCCGGAGGACGGAGGGGGGCACAGCACCTCCCCGTAATGAAGGCCAGGCTTCAGCGTGGGATGCCCCAACCTGGGGTCCAGGCAGGGCCTCCTCCCTCCACCCTTGCTGCTCCCTCTGTCTGGCGTGTCCTCCTGAGGAAGGCGCTGACCCTGGGCATGCGTCTCTACTGCAGGGCAACGTCCAGCACTCACCGAGCCTTCTGGCGGCTCGCTCCTTCCTCTAGGGCCTCGGGCGGCTCCCTCCGTCCGCAGCACACTTGGCTTCAGGACCTGTCTTGGTCTCTCCCCCGTCGCGGGGCTTCTGGTGACGGCGTGGGAGTCGCCCACCGGCTGGACCGCAGCACGCATGTGCTCCCGCATCCTTTACCAGGCACCGTCCGCAGCCCCGCACCTCCACTCACAGCAGCGCTGTCTCCTTGTGTGGCTGCAGGGAGCGAGCGGCCGGCCTCAGCCACGCCGGGTCCCCGCCTTGGCTGGGAGCCTGTGTAGCCCGTCTGGGGCTCCTGACTCTCCAGCCTCCTGTCCGTGTTCCGGGCTGGCTTGGTCTCATTCACTTACACACCGTCCCGGGCGCTGCTCCAGGCCCCGCGCCTGCCTCTCTGGGGGGCCCCTAATCCGGACAGCCACCACCCGCGGCTCCAGCTCCCACTCCTGTCTGTGCCTCAGGGCACGAGGGCTGTACCTGGTGCCTCGTATCACACCTGCAGCACAGGACCGGGGCTGGATCCACCCAGGGAGGGTGGGCGCTGGAGGCTGTCCCTCCCTGGAGCTCACCCTTTCCTGATTGAGAAATGAGTCCATGTGGGCGTGGTGGTGCACCCCAGTCACCCCAGCACTCTGGGAGACTGAGGCAGGAGGGTCACAAGTTCAAGTCCCGTCTAGGCAACTGTGCAAGACCCTGTCTCAAAATAAAAAATGCACAAACAAGGGGGGGGGTGCCACTCAGGGAGAAGGCCCTGGGCTCTGCCCTCAGTACCACAGGAATAAAGGAACAACTAAACAAATCAGTGTGAGTTCCCTGAGCGCCACACAGCATCCTGGACGCTGGACAGGCCCGTGACGGGACAGGGGCCCGGGTGGGGGCAGGAGCAGGGCTGTGCCCGGTGAGTCCGCCACCCCCGACCGTGCGAGATGCAGGGAGCGGGGCAGCAACTGCTGCACAGACCGACGAGGCACCAAGCAAGCGGCTCGTTTGACACCAGTGACTGCGTCCCCTGAGACCCCGCAGTCAGGGCGGGGAGCAGCTGCCCAGGACGGGGCGAAGCCCTCAGTCCAGTTGTCCAGCACCTGCTCCCCGCGGTGAGGTCATCGCACCGCATGGCTCTGGAATCCGTTGCCTCACCCTCGCCCCGCAGACACGGGCCTGCACCCCAGGCACCCCATCCCCACGCCCGCATCTCAGCAGTCAAGGGGCCCGGCTGCACCAGGGCCAAGTGGGGTCAAGGGACACTCAAGCCACCAGGCTTGGGCCCGGGCTGCTTGCCTGGCACGTCCTCCAGGATAGAGACAGAGAGGTGAGCTGGGCTCTGCAGCCACCAGGCCAGGGCGCGGGGGAGGCCGGGCCTGGACATCCCCACTGCCCGGGTCTGGGGGAGACTGGGCCTCCTGGGTGGGGCATTTGTCCAACCACCTCCAGTTCTAGGACCCAACGCACGGTGTCGCCCTGGCCCCAGTGGGGCACTAAGGGCGGGGCCAGGGGTGGGGCCTCGCGACCCCCAGATGGGACGGGCCTTGCGCTGGGCAGCGCTGTTGGCATAGGCCCCGAGCGCTGGGCACCGGGCACTGCAGGCTGCGGACGGGACGGGTGCGCCTCAAGGAGGTGAGCTGGAGCTCCAGCCCAGGCTGGAATGAGGGCAAGGTCGGAAGCTGGGCCCACGGCACACAGCCAGCGGCCTGGCCCAGGTCCGCAAGGGGCATGGGCTGCACCGTTAGCCTAAGGAGGCGGCCCTGGGCTCGGGTCCCCTGAGTTCTGCGAGGACCAGGACCGGGGTGGGCTGGGGGCTCAGGCATCAGGGTCTGGAGGGGGACGGGGCCTGATGGGCTTGGGTCCCCGGCGTCAGGACAGAGCACATCCTGATGACAGCCTCTAAGAAGTGGGGAGACCAGTGTCCCTGTGGGGTGAGGCCAGTGCGGAGGTCACAAACGTCCCTGCCCCCCTTCCTCCTGCCACCTGATGGCCCGAGGGTGAAAGATGAACCACATCACTTGAGACACCCCCACCTTGTTTCCAAAGCAAACAGACTTGGGCCTGGGGGTGGACACGCAGCCTCTGTCTCCTAAGAGCAAACAGGTGCTCAAGGCCCCAGGGGCGAGGTGGGGCTGGCCAAAGGGGACGTGGGGTCCCGCGCTGTCCAGCTGGGCACAGGCGCAGAGGGCCCCCAAGCCTAAGGCTTGAGGTAACCAATTTGAAGAACAGGCCCCCTTCCTCAGACCTGGGGTCTGGGCCCGGCCTCCCCCTGGGCCTTGGCCTGGTGCTGCAGAGCCCCGCTCACCTCTCTGTCTCCGTCCTGGCAGAAATGCCAGGCAAGCAGCCCGAGCCCGGGCCAGCAAAGGTGGTGGCCTCTGAGGACAGCGCGGAGGAGAGCCTGGGCGGCCTCACGCCCCAGGAGCTGCAGCAGGGCCAGGCGGCAGCACTGGCGCTGGAGGACAGGATGGCGCTGAGCCTGCAGACCCTGGTGCACGCCGAGGTGGAGCAGCTCTACGAGGAGGTTCGGCCTCTGGGCCGGGGCCGCTTCGGCCGCGTCGTGCTGGTCACTCACCGTCAGAAAGGTGCCGGATGGGGACAGGAGGGGTGCGGCAGGGGTGGGCTGAGGCCCAGGGACACCAGGCTTGGACGTCCTATAGAACGGGATCAAGCCTTACCCGCACCCCTTGTAAGCCGTGAGGTTGGGGAGCCCCTTTAGCCTCTCTGAGCCCCAAGGCTCAGCTTCCTCCTTTGAAAAGATGAGTAATGGTTCCTTCCCCCCGCCCAATACCAGGGATTTAAACCAATCGACATCCCCAGGCCTTTTTAAATTTTTTGAGAATGTCTCCTTAAAATCCTTAAGTGCCCAGGCTGGGCTCAAACTTCGGATCCTCCTGTCTCAGCCTCTGAGAGTGCTGGGATAAAAGGCATGTGTCACAGCTAAGATGAGCAACGACGCCTCCTTGAAAGAACTGTTCTTTTGTTGTTGTTTTGAGACAGGGTCTCGCTGTATAGTTTAGGCTGATCTTGAACTCACTACGTAGCCCAGGCTGGCCTCGAACTCATGGTGATCCTCCTGCCTCAGCCTCCCGAGTGCTGGGATGACAGGTGTGCACCATTATGCCCAGCTAAGAACTGTTCATTTCTGATCGTACAGTGACACCCCCTCAGGCTCCCAGAGCGCCTGAAACTGTTGTTTCCCTATGCGTTCACACCTGGGGTGAAGTTTAACTCATAAAGTAGATAGTCTGAGCGGTCATGCAGGCAGACTGTTGTCCACAAGCCTCACCCGGCTGCTTCCACGGAGGCCCTGTCTCAAGGCCCGGTGGTGCTGCAGCCTGCGATATGGCTGTCAGGAGCAGCTCACAGTCCAGGGAGCATGGGGGTGGGCAGGAGAGTGGTGCGGGCCATGGTGACAGAAACCCAAGGCGTGGTGGGCGTGGAAAACGCAGCGCTGCCCCTGCAGGGGTGGATGGGACGGCTGGCGGGTGTTGGAGGAGGCGGGCTTGGTCACACGCAGCCCCACGGTGGGTGAGGCCGGGGCTGGGCGGTGGCTGGTGCCTCAGACCTGGAAGAGAGGGGTGCCTGCCTTCCAGCCTTTGCACCCTGGGACCGGCTACCTGTTATCTCTTCCTGATTCTCTCATTCGCGGGTTTTGTGTCACAAGGAGTCACTGAGGGCCTGGAGGTGCTCCGTCTGGCTTCCATCTACCCGAGACACGGGAAAGCAGGGGGGGCCCCGAAATCAGGAGCAGGCTGGGGAGGCAGGGGCAGGGGCGGGAGGGCATGTTGGGAAGACTGCGCAGCCCGAAGAACCAGTCCTGGTGACCACAGGGGAGGACAGCTGGCCCGAGTGACCCCCGCCCCCTGCGCACCCCCACCCCGGTCCCTGTTGCTCCCAGGCACGTCCCTGGCGCTGAAGCAGCTCCCAAAGACGTCCACATCCCTGCGCAGCTTCCTGTACGAGTTCTGCGTGGGCCTCTCGCTGGGCCCCCACCCGGCCATCGTGGCGGCCTTCGGCATCGGCATCGAGTCTGCCGACTCCTACAGCTTCCTGACGGAGCCTGTTCTGCACGGGGACCTCATTGCCTTCATCCAGCCCAAGGTGGGTAGCAGCTGAGCATCACGTCGGGAGCCTGATCGGGCCTCCTGGGGGCACCGGAACGACCCGGCCTGGGCGTCACATCCAAAGGGCTGGGCCTTTCCAGGCCATTCCCTGCCAGGGTGGCCGGGGCTGCAGACTGGTCAGGCCCTTTAGGGCTCACCGACTTCACAGAGCTAACACAAGATCCTCCCGAGAGGCACCAGCCCTCAGGCCGTCACACGGGGCTGAAGGGTTCGCAGGCTCCCACCGGGCCCCATCTGGCTCACGGCCTCAGCAGGGCAGCCCAGGCCTCACTAGTCACACTAGGCTTTCCCAGGCTCACAGGCCTTGTGCTCACAGTGGACCTCCCAGGGCACTGGGCTCGCAGGGCCTCAGGGGTTCATCCCAGGCCTCACAGAGCTCACAGGCCTCCCAGGCTCACGCTAAGCCTCCCAGGCTCATGCTAGGCCTCAGTAGGCCTCATGGGCTCACACTAGACCTTACTAGGGCCTCACACTGGGCCTCACTGGTCACACCAGCCTCACAGGCGCCCCCAGGCCTCAGAGGGTCACAGGTCACGAGGCCTCGTAAGCTCACACCAGATCTCACAGGGCCCACGCTTTTGGAGTCTTGCAGCCTGCTCAGGTCTCCCAGGCCTGCCTCGGGGGCTGCGAGGCCCAGGGCTGTCTCCCCAGCAGCAGGTGGGCAGTGACCCCGCTGTCCCGTCCCCACAGGTGGGGCTCACACAACCCGCCGCGCAGCGCTGCGCGGCACAGCTGGCCTCAGCCCTGGAGCACATCCACGCCCACGGCCTGGTGTACCGGGACCTCAAGCCAGAGAATGTGCTGGTGTGCGACCCCGCCTGCCAGCGCTTCAAGTTGGCCGACTTCGGCCACACACGGCCCCGCGGGACCCTGCTGCGCCTGGCCGGGCCGCCCATCCCTTACACGGCCCCTGAGCTGTGTGCCCCGCCGCCGCTGCCGGAGGGGCTCCCCATCCAGCCGGCCCTGGATGCGTGGGCCCTGGGCGTCCTGCTCTTCTGCCTGCTCACTGGCTACTTCCCCTGGGACCAGCCGCTGGAGGACGCTGACCCCTTCTACGAGGACTTCCTAGTGTGGCGGGCCTCGGGTCAGGCCCAGGACCGGCCACAGCCCTGGTTCGGCCTGGCACCCGCGGCAGATGCCCTGCTGTGGGGGCTGCTGGACCCTCACCCGCGAAGGAGGAGCCCCGTGGGCGCTGTCCAGGACTACCTGGGTCAGCCCTGGCGACAGCGGGACGGGGAGGCCTCGGAGCTGGCAGCGGGGGCGGGGGAGGGCGGGCAGTGAGGCCTGCAGGCTCGGGGACCCAGGGGCCCTCTCTGTCTCCGGGGACCCCCTTCCCGCTGCCACGTGCGGGCCTCTGTCACAGGGACATCTTGTGTCCTCCCATCACGGGCCCCTCCTCCCTGGGGGGGCCATCGCCACCCCACGGGGCTGTCCCTGCCCTCAGCCGTCCCTTCCTCCCGCCCCTGAATTCGGCACTGGCCAGGGCCTGTGGTCCGCACTCCATCCGCCCTGTGCCCCTTTCCTCCCTGCGGCTGGCAGTCTCCGTCTGCCTCGTTCCTGGGTTACTTCGGGAGCTCGCAGAGCGCTGGGGGCCGGCCTGCTCGCAGTGGACCCCAGCGATGCCCGTGAACGAGTGAGCCCACAAGGAAGACTCGGACTGGCTCCCACCAGCGCCCCTCCCCCCCATGCCCTCCCTCCCCCGCCTCCTGTCCTCTCTGCGGGTCCCCGCCCTGCCCTGTGCTGTGTCCACGGGGCGGTGCCTCTGTGATGCGCCTCATCTCCGCTCACCCCACTGCTCTCTGCAAATAAATCCACCTGGCACTCAGGCCAAGCGAGGCCGCGTCTCTTTGCCGGCATCGTCCCGCAGCTCCTGCGTCGGGTCCGTGACTGGCAAGCTCTGAGTGGGAACGGGTGGGCTGCTTATTCCCAAGAACCCGTTTTCCTTTACCACGCCAAGGGTTATGTGGTACCACTTTAGAGGCAAATGCCATCCTGGGAGATGCTGTCGAGGACCTGGGCATGGTGCACACACTTGTCATCCCAGCACCCTGGAGGCTGAGGCAGGAAGACTGCAAACGCAAGCCCAACCTGGGCAACTTAGCAACTTTGTGAGACCCCTACTCAAAATGAAAAATAACAAGGGACTGAGGATGTAGCTCAGTGCAAGTGAAGGCCTTGGGTTCAGTCTCCAGCCCTGGGGGGAAAAGGCGCTGTCGAAGTCTGCACACACTCACACATACACTCCCACACACACACTTGCAAACACACACATACTCACAGCTCGAGTGTCTCCTACAGAGGTGGGAACATGGTTTCTGTATCTCACAGCTCTGTGAGTGCTCGAGCCTGGGTGTGTGTGTGTGTGCGCCCATGCACAGGCGCTGAGGAAGGTCAGGCAGGCGCCCTCCCGCCTCCCTGGCTCCTGGCCGCAGCCGTGTTTGCAAACACGCTCTTCCTCTCCTCGCCCTGCTTGGCCAAGGGCCCAAGCAAGGCTACAACTCCAGCTGGATCGGGTGTCATCCTCTGGGCCCGGTACACCCCCACACCCTGCTGTGGCCATGAGGGGTTGCCTGGTCGCATGGCGGCCATCTGCCCATGGGGAGCAGCCCCAAGCACCCTCCAACTATAGATACAAGCTTGGGAAGTAGAGACCTGCACACCTGGCCTGGGCAGCTGGAGACCCTGTGGAGCTGGGGTTGCTGGGGCAGTGCGGGGAGCACCCTGTCCTCAAGCTGAAGTAGCCTGGCAGTCAGGCCACGATGCAGACTGCTGGCGCGGGTGCCGCTGCACAGCGGGTGGCACAGGGCAGGGTCAGAGGGGAGGTGCGTGCGGTAATTGGTGGTGGCAGCTGGGGATTAGCTGGAAGGTGATGATGACCCAGCAGAACCCAGGTGGCCGGGGAGGACGGGAGTGTCGCAGGGGCCGGGGTGGGTGCCACACTCGTTAAGCCACCCTCGATGCTAATTGTTAGATCCTTAACACCCTGTGCAGTGGTGGCACCTGTTGGGAGACCTGTCTGAGGCCACCCAGCAGCCAGATTCACACCCAGGACTCTCTGTCCCCGGCCTGGCCAACAGGAAGAGAGGCCAGGCCGGGCTGGGGTGTGAGGAGTGTGCGTGTGTGCGCACATGTGTTAGAGTGTGGAGGAGTGGCGGGCAATGCACGTGTACACACAGGTGAGGGTGTGAGCAGGTGTGTGGGCTGAAGCAGGCGTGTTCGAGTGTGCGGTGAGCGGGTGAGCCCTTGTCTGTGCTGTGAGGCGGTGCTGCACCCTCCCAGGAGGAGAGGGAAGGAGATCCAGCCCTGCTGACCTTAGACCTTGCAGAACGAGCACGCGTGGACAAGGCGTGAAGAGTTGGCTCTTGAACACTGCTTGTGGGACACAGGGTGGAGGAGAGCCAGGTGCGGGGGCACACGCCTATCATCCCACCAGTGGCAGGCTCAGGCAGGAGGATCACGAGCTCTTGCCCAGCCTGCACAACTTAGTGACTTAGTGAGGTCCTGTCTCAAAGAAAAGGTTGGGGGTGGGTGAAAGCCCTGGGTTCCATCCCCAGTACCATAAAAATTAAAAGGAATGTTAGAGACTGAGGGTGGGGCAGCCCCTGAGGGCAGGAATTGCGGTGGGCTCTTGGAGCTGGACTGCACATGCTCACTAGCTGTCTGCCCGGCCCCCTCACTCTGCGTGCGCCTGAACCGTGAACGCAGCTGAAATCCGCTTCTCTCCTGCAGCCACAGTGCGTGAGGCCGAGGCAGCTACTGTTCTGGGCTGGGTGCAAGCTGGCGGCTCAGCTGTCCTGTGGACCGGGGCCAGGCCAGGCGGGGTGGGGGAAGCTGGCCACCCGCCCTGGCCGCGGGCCCCGGGGCCAGATGTTCGAGCTTAGCTGCCCAGCCCCACAGGATAGAGTGACCGGGTAATTAAGCACCCGCTTGCTCAGGGCTGGCAGAAGGTGGTGGGGGTGGAGGCACCAGGGCCCAGAATGCCCACGGTTCCCCAGCTTAGGCTTGCAGAGGGGTCAAGAGCCGAACCCCATGCTGGGCTCTGGTACATTTGGGGGTGACATGGAGGCAGGTTTCACCCACTCCCATCCGGCGATGGCAAAGGAGTTATTCTCCAAGTCGGGGTTCTACCACGTGCCAGCCCTGCGCCCCGGGCAGGAAGGGGCAGGTGGCAGTGGCCTCCCCTGCGTTTTCCCAAGGCACCAGTCAGCAGTTATTTAAGTCCCAGGCTTAACGAGCTGAGGGGGAGAGGACTCTGCCTGCACCCTGCCCCTTGGCGTCAGGACCCCTGGGCACGGTCCCCCCAGCAAGTAACTGGACCCTGCTGGCCTTTGCCTAGCGGGTGGCAGGGGCGCCAGCTCCATCACCTTCGGCGACCTCTGAGCCAGCCCTGGGCCGCGGGCAGGACGGGGAGCCACGTGTCTGGCCTGAGGCTGTGGGGCTAGGTGGGAGGGGGCATCCTTCCCCATGCCAGCCCCCTATTCACCCACCGCAAGCTGAGGCCTGGACCTGGGAGGGATGCCATGCTCCCCCAGAGGGGCAGCTGCGGACCCCAGGGCAGGGTCAGCGCAGGGGCTTTTCCTCCTGTCATCCTGGTGGAGTCCAGCCGTGCTGGGTGGCCGCCGCAAGGATCGGCCCTCTCTGAGCCCGGGGCCAGGCATCGAAGTTCCTCCTCGCAGGCTGTGGTAAGGACTCGGTGGAGCGGCGCCAGGAGGTGAGGCTGGGCTCGCTGGGTCCTGGGTGTACAGGACGGTACCGCGTGCCAGGCCCCGTTCTCACGGCACAGGCCCCGCAAGCCCAACGCTCCCAGGAGCCCAGGGCCGTGGCTGTCCCATCTCACACAGGAGGACAGAAAAGGGGGGAGGGGCAGACTCCCTGGGAGGCAGGCCACACCAGCCCGAGCCCAGGCTGTGTGCCAGCAGGTACGATGACGCCATCTTTAGATGGAGGCCTGGGTGCCACCATGGATCTGCCACACAAACCCCAAGGACCCTGGCAGTGACCAGTCCTGTTCGCATGTGGGACATCATGTGACGTCGTGAGCCCGAGGAGCCAGGCCTCGCCCGGCACTCTCCAGGAGGGCAGCTGTGGATCGGTCACCACAAGCTCCTGAGACCTGGCTACTGCTCTCCCTGAGATGGGGGAGTCACATGAGAAGGCTCCACGTGCCTCCTCTGCTGAGCTGCAGACCACCTCCATCTTCAGGGATGTGACAGTAAGGTGACACCATGCACGCTAAGTCTCCCCACAGCGGACACACAGCACCTGAGATCACGGCCTCTGTGGTGCTAAGCAGACACATCCATCCCAAGATGCTGCTGGCCGTGCACTCGGTGCCACTTCTGTGCCCCAGGCTGGTGCACACCACGAGCAAGCGGAGCTACCTGCCTGGACAGGCAGCACCATCCTCAGGCCCACCATCAGGATCTCCTCCAGCACAGCTATCATTTCACTATCATCACCTTCATCACCATCCGCATCATCACCACCATCACCACCATGACCACCACCACCACCATCACCATCACCACCACCATCACCACCACCACCATCATCACCACCATCACCACCACCATCACCACCATCACTACCACCATCACCACCA